TTATATTTTTAAAAAACTTAAACTTAATATTTTTTTTATTTCAATTTTAGTTTTTATTTATTTCCAGTCAGTAATTTTAGTAAACATATTTAATTTCTTTTTTTCGTTTAAAGTTTTTCATCTAATATTTATAGTTTATTTTCTTTCAGCTTTATTTCAGTATTTTATTTCAGCATTACTTGTATTATAGTTTTTATTAATTATATTAATAATTTGAATTAGCTTTTATATTTATATTTTCAGCTTTATTTTACTTTTTACGTTTTATTTATTTCCAGTTTCCAGTAATTTTACTGCTTAAGATTAAATTTATTTCATTTAGTTGCAAAGGCAATATTTTTTCATTTATATATTTTGATATTTCTAATGCCGGCTTTGCATATGTTTTTTTATTACTATTATTTAATATATTACCCTTTAAATATTATTCAATTAAATATTACAATTTAGGTTTCATTTTAAAAGTATAACGTATTTCATTTATTTCAAGGCAACAATTCAAATTTTCTTGTAGTTTCAGATTTTCATCTAATATTATTACAATATTATTTCTGTGTATGTATGTGTATAGTTTATATATATATATATATATATATATATATATAGTTTATTTATTTTATTTTGTTTATTTTTATATTCTTTATATTCTATCATAGATTTTATTACAGCTTTTATCTCTATATTTTTAGTTCCCTTTCGAGGGAACTTCGAACTGCGTCCTCTAGAGGTCGCTATGGGGAACGCCCTCAGCGTGACTGGTGTCTGAAGCACATATCTAAAAACGACAATAACATTGTGGTGACGAGCAAGCACGTTCAGCTCTCGAGGGAGTTGGATGTGCTCTGTCAAAAAAAGGCCTCCTTGGTCAGTTGCCTTAATGTTGGGACCCTGTTGTTCCCTTTGAAATGTGTGATCCCCTGGACTATTGGTCGCTTCGGTCGAGCTGGGTTCCTCTCTCTCTTCGCTAGGGGTTAAACCCTCCGCTCTTGAGCTCCGTGGCAGTGACTTCAGGTAGTTGGGCTGCTTGCTGCTTCCCTGATAAGCTGCCTCTATTCGGGTCAAGCCAGGCAGTGCTCTCCTCACCTCAGAGGGTTGTCTTTTAGCCTGCCGCTCCCGATTGAGTGGCTGAGGACTTCTGGGCATCTGTGAGCAGATCTCTATAAAATCCATATTATGGTAAGTGCACGCGCTAAGCTCTGTGCACTTTCTAAAATCCTGTATGGTAAGGGTTACACGCGCTGTCAGCCTCGTACCCTTTCTCTGAGTTGGCTTAGCCCCCGGTACTCGCTCTGGGCTCCACTCAACTAATGTATCTCTGTTGATACATTTCTGAACAGGGTGAGCTTTCTCACTTCAGAGGGTTGTTTTTGAGCCTGCCGCTCCGTATTGAGTGTCTGAGGACTTCTGGGCATCTGTGAGCAGATCTCTATAAAATCCATATTATGGTAAGTGCACGCGCTAAGCTCTGTGCACTTTCTAAAATCCTGTATGGTAAGGGTTACACGCGCTGTCAGCCTCGTACCCTTTCTCTGAGTTGGCTTAGCCCCCGGTACTCGCTCTGGGCTCCACTCAACTAATGTATCTCTGTTGATACATTTCTGAACAGGGTGAGCTTTCTCACTTCAGAGGGTTGTTTTTGAGCCTGCCGCTCCGTATTGAGTGTCTGAGGACTTCTGGGCATCTGTGAGCAGATGCTTCGGAATCTGTTCTGTGAGCATGCCACAGTCAATTAGGGTTCCTAGGCTGGCTTAATACAGCCTCGGTTACCCATTAAGCAACGGTGTTTCTAAATCCATGCTATGGTAAGTGCACATGCTAAGCTCTGTGCACTTTCTAAAATCCACATTGTGGTAAGTGTGCACGCTAAGCACTCTGCGCACTTTCTAAAATCCTGTATGGTAAGGGTTACACGCGCTGTCAGCCTCGTTCCCTTTCTCTGAGTTGGCTTAGGCCTCAGTTCTCGCCTTGGGCTCCACTCAACTAATGTATCTCTGTTGATACATTCCTGAGCAGGGTGTTGCTACCTAAGATCTGTCGGGTTTTTAGATATGACGATATGCTTCAGACACGGGTCACGCTGAGGGCGTTCCACATAGTGACCTCTAGAGGACGCAGTGTCTCGTTCCCTTCTCAGGGAGCCATGGTTACATACGTAACCTGAGACGTTTTCATTGTAATTTTTGTTTATTTTTTGTATTTTTCTTTCTTATTTTAAATATTATTATTTAGGTTTGATTTATTTTTATTTCACTTTTAGTTTTTATTCATTTCTAGTTAGTAATGTTTGATCTAATATTTATATTTTATTTTTATTTCAGCTTTATTTAATTATATATATATATATATATATGAATGAATACATTTTTGAATAAAAATAAATTGACCCTAAAGAGTAATGAGTAATAAAATACTAGTTAAAAAAAACTAGTAATGAAAAAATGAAAAATACAATAAAATAAAAATAAACTTAAATTTTAAACTGAAAATATCATGATAAAAGCTATTTCAAAATATTAATGAAAATAATAAAAACTATAGTAATGTATAATATTAAAAAAAAATTGTTAATTGAAATAAAGCTGGAATAAAATAAAATATACATATTACATGAAATATCTAAGTTAGAACACTAAAATTACAAGGACAACTGATATAAAAGATACATTTAAATAGTTAATAATAACCCTTTTTTTTAAACCAACCCTAAACATATTTAAAAAAAATTATTAAATTAAATTGAAAACTGAAAACTAGAACTTGAAAATTAAAATGAAAACAAAATATTACAATCAAATTCAAAATATTAACAGAAACTGTAATAGTAGACCAATGATACTAAAATAACACTGATTGTTTTTCATGCACTAAAAGTGGATGGCCATGTATTTCATCGCGTGAACCAGAGCTGTTCTGTCAGACAGGATTGAACTGAAAGAAGGGTGAGCGTAAATGATGACAGTATTTTGGGGTCAGTTTTGTAGTAATGCAGGTTCTGACTCATCTGTCTATAGAGCTCTCTCTCTTTCCCCTCGTTTGTGTCTCAGAAAGCGTAACCTCAGACTCTGCACTGCTGGCCCCTCACTGAGCGTCTGTTTTCCATCACATCTTCTCCTCTGAGTCTGGATGAAACCCTTCACAGACAACAGAACGAGTTAAACTGAGTTCAGTGACTTTCAAAATCTTAAGCAAAGAATGGAAATAATTCAGCAAAAAGTGCAGCGTATGTGAGGATATTTCAAAACAATGTCATCAGAACAGTTCACATTCTTAAGATTTCCAGACTTTTATATTTAATACATTACTGTTCAAAATTTGTGGTAAGGTTGTTTTTTTTTTAATGATGTTTTGGAAGAAGTCTCTTCTGCTCACCGGGACTGCATTTTATTGATCAGAAATACAGTAAAAATTGTGAAATATTATTACAATTTGAAACAACTGTTTTCTATGTGAACATACAGTGGGTACGGAAAGTGTTCAGACCCCCTTAAATTTTTCACTCTTTGTTATATTGCAGCCATTTGCTAAAATCATTTAAGTTAATTTTTTTTCCTCATTAATGTACACAGAGCACCCCATATTGACAGAAAAACACAGAATTGTTGACATTTTTGCAGATTTATTAAAAAAGAAAAACTGAAATATCACATGGTCCTAAGTATTCAGACCCTTTGCTCAGTATTTAGTAGAAGCACCCTTTTGATCTAATACAGCCATGAGTACTCAAATTGATTTATTTGGCTTTATACCATGGCTGTTTGACACATTCTTTGCACATTTTGCTAGTAGCAGTTCTCCGTTCTTGCAATAGCTCTTCTTGCTTAAATTGCATATGCAAATAACATTCAAAAGCACTTGACAGTCTTTTTTATTTGAATGTTATATTACTAGTTGCACTTCTGGTTAGATATTAGAATCTAATCTAACTATAGAGCAAAATTATAAATGAAACATGAAATTGTAAAACAAAAAGATATATTTAAAAATGTCAACCAAAATAAAAATAAATAAATAAATAAAAAAGAAAAATATATATAATTTGTATATATGATAAAATAAAACAAAAATGCCCGTTTGAGTTTTTGTCTCATATTTACATCAGATTCACACCAATAACTGGGAGGTATCTGTAAGTGTTCTCTAATTTTGATCAGAGTTCTTTTTCAAATATCTCATTTAAGTTTTTATACTGTGCTTCAGAATACAATTAATTTATGTAACCAGCAGATAGTGTGCATGTACTTAACATTAACTGATTAATACCTCTAGTTATGAAGACCTAGTTATGATGGAAAGAACAGCATTTATTGTCTTTCTATAAATTATTAGTATTAATTTCCATGAAATCCCTAATGTATAATTTCTTAATATTTCTTGACCATTGGAATCCTATTGTTATTTTTTCTTAGGTCATCTAAATTATTGCATTATTTGCATTAACATGATTAAATATTACTCATTAAATTATTTACAATCATTAAAACATTTGTAATCATTAAAGTAGACCTGTGTAACAGTTTTAATTATTTTGTATGAAACATGCTATATATGTAAACCAGCAGTGTGTGTGTGTGTGTGTGTGTGTGTGTGTGTGTGTGTGTGTGTGTGTGAGTGGTTTGTTAGGATAGCACAATATTTGGCTGAGATACAACTATTTGAAAATCTGGAATCTGAGGATGCAAAAAAAATCTAAATATTGAGAAAATCATCTTTAAAGTTCTTAGCTATGCATATTACTAATCAAAAATTAAGTTTTGATATATTTACAGTAGGAAATTTACAAAATATTTTCATGGAACATGATCTTTACTTAATATCCTAATGATTTTTGGCATAAAAGAAAAATCGATAATTTTGACCCATACAATTGGCTATTGCTACAAATATACCTGTGCTACTTAAGACTGCTTTTGTGCTCCAGAGTAACATATGTTGTGCAAAATATCTCATTTTAAGAAAATTAATTTGACTCTTGATTTTGTGGTAAAATATGACACTCTTGAGAGGTTCTATGAGAAATGTATTAACCAGGCAAATTAAATACACATTTCCAATACAAAAGCACAATCATCTGAATCACATACATTAATGGTGCGATCATTAGATGGTTTCTCATCATGAGAGCCGATCCACAGACGCTGACCTGAGAATTCGGACCGACACCTCGTACACGGCAAAAACCACCATGTTGACAGGAAACGCCCGCAGGCAGTTTATTCCCAGGCTTCTGAAGAAAATCCCCAGCCCTTCGTTCCGTACGGTCTCAGTCACGCAGTGAACGAATCCTCGGTATCTCCTCTCTCCTCGGACGCCATCCATCTGCAGACGGGCTTTGATCACATCCATGGGTGTCCCGACAGACCAGCCGGCCGTTCCTGCCAATCCACCGGCCAACAGCACCACCGTCCACTCTGACAACATCAACACACACCTTTGACCCTATAAAGCCTTTATAAAGCCTCAAACTTTGCTTCCACACTTCCACACCTTCTGTCGTCTGATTGAGAGTTTAGAGTTCCCTTTTGAGGGAACTGCGTCCTCTAGAGGTCGCTATGGGGAACGCCCTCAGCGTGACCGGTGTCTGAAGCATATCTCTAAAAACGACAATAACATTGGCCGGCGACAGCCTATGATGTCATTACCTTGCGCGATCACAGTATAAAAGGGAGCCGGGATAACAAGTCATCCTCTTTTTCCTCTTCTTCGTCTTCACTGACTGTTTGTTTATGTTAGCGTTAAGCTAAACACGACTAGGAGTGCATGTTTCTCGCCAGAGGCTTTGCTCTGATACCTGCAGTTTCACACGGCTCGCGTGCTGTGTGTATGTGTGTGTGTGTGGTGACGAGTAAGCACGTTCAGCTCTCGAGGGAGTTGGATGCGCTCTGCATTCATTGCTTATTTCTTGAGCATGAATTGAACGCGCTCGTCTCACGAGGAGCCAGCTTGTGCTCATTGTGATGCATTCGCCGGACTACTGAGGGGGATGCGAGTACTTTACTATTTACCCGAGTTTGTAGATAGCGTTTGCATGAGTGCGTTCGCCTCTCGCTTGAATAGCGATGCATTCGCGACAGCACTTTTCGTTCGCCCTTGATTTGCGAGGTAATCTAGCGGTTGGGCGGAGCGTGTTTAGCTCCCATGGGAGCTGAATGCATGCTGCGCGTTGCGTCGCGGTGAGAACATGGAAAGTACCTGACGGGAAATTTCTCCCTATCAGTAATTTTCTTTTGTTTATATTGGAAATGTATAGTGTGCATCTGTCTGCAGTTATTGGACAGATGATTTATATCATGTCCTTCTCAGATAACCACATTATACTGCACTCCGGCTAGAGTTAAAAAAGAAAGAAAAGAAAGAGCCTTCCATTCCTTCCCGATCTTCATTTGGAGATCGAGAAGGTTTGGAAAAATCCATTCTCATCCCGCATGCACAGATTCTAGCATACTAGTTATGCCAACATTGAGGGGATGCGTGAGAATGGTTATGAAAAGATGCCACCTGTTGAAGAGACACTGGCCTGCTATCTCTTTATGGGGGAGACATCTTCTCTTAAGGCTCCCTCCCTGCCATCCGAACCCCTTCAGGATACATCTTGTTTGAATGGCAGGGCATTCACGGCAGCAGGTCAGGTTGCAGTCTCGTTGCACACCATGGTGGTGACATCTGCCGGTTTCCCCTTCTGAACTTTTCAGCACTTCCGTCGAGACGATGGTCATGAGGTTTAAGGAGGCCACGACATGCTCGGCTGCCTTTAAATCCTTCATTCCACGAAGGTCCAGGCTTCGGACTTTGCCTCCAGCCAATATCATGAGCCTGAGTCATGCGCGGGAGCCATGGTTGGTGAGTACGATCCATTTTTATCTACTCTACTGCTAGTTCTTGTGTGCTTGATGCTAGCCTTTCTCTGCAGCACTACTCGGACTTGTTCTGTTTTTCTGACTTTTAGGTTTGACCCCACCTGCTAAGTCAGGACCTCCTGCTGTTGGCCGATTACAGTGATGGTTTCACTCATCGGTTCTGGGCTTCTGAGGAAGTCTCCCAGCATCAGGTCCCCAGTATAACGCTGCAACCTCAGAACCTGTGGGTCCTTCTCGTGGCTAGTATTCTTCTGAGTACATGCTTCGCGACATGATCCCTATCCTCTGGCCAGGTGCGAACTACTCATTTCTCACCCTGAGGGGTCTCCCGAGATTTGAATCGTTCCTTATCCTTCATGCACGTTCTCTAAGCTAGAGCTCCTCTCGCTGATGCATTGAGGAGTTCAATGCTCCATAGACGGTCGGGCACGTGGGTCCTCACTGTCACACTGCCCTTATGGTTGAACCAGTAATCACCCCTCTGTGGAGTGGGCTGGAGTACACTGCGTTCCCTGAGGTAAGAGGGATTTATGTTTCTGTGGGAACCCCTCCTTTGTGCTTCTGCTCTGAGGAGTAGAAAGCTCTATACACATGAATGGTTATTGGGTCCCGCTATTTCTTCAGATTCTATCGGGTCTGGTTAAATGGGACCCGCGCTCTCTATCGAGATAGAGAACATGAGACCGTGTCCAGCTGCACCAGTGGACTGTCGCTTATTGGGCCCTGCTGGGTTACCCCTCGCTAGGGGTTAAACCCTCCGCTCTTGAGCTCCGTGGCAGTGACTTCAGGTAGTTGGGCTGCTTGCTGCTTCCCTGATAAGCTGCCTCTATTCGGGTCAAGCCAGGCAGTGCTCCCCTCACCTCAGAGGGTTGTCTTTGAGCCTGCAGCTCCCGATTGAGTGTCTGAGGACTTCTGTGCATCTGTGAACAGATGCTTCGGAATCTTTCTAAATCCATGCTATGGTAAGTGCACACGCTAAGCTTCTGTGCACTTTCTAAAATCCACATAGTGGTAAGTTTGCACGCTAAGCATTCTGAGGTATGAAGCTCTCTATCGCAGGGGTCACCAAACTTGGTCCTGGAGGGCTGGTGTCCTGCAGAGTTTAGCTCCAACCCCAATTAAACACACCTGAACAAGCTAATTAAGGTCTTACTAGGCATACTAGAAACTTCCAGGCAGGTGTGTTGAGACAAGTTGGAGCTAAACTCTGCAGGACACCGGCCCTCCAGGACCGAGTTTGGTGACCCCTGCTCTATCGGGTAGAGAGCACGAGACTGGATTGGGGTTTCAATGCAATGCCTTTAATCTAGTCAGCATCGCTCCCCTCACTGTAGAGGGTTATTATGAGCATGCTGCTTCCTCAGGCAAACTAGGTCCTTCCTCTGCTTCCTTGATACGCTGAGTTTTTGGCTAAGCTTGCAGTACGCTTACCCTTCAGGATTTCTATGAGCATGCTGTAGGTCAAGCATCTGCCTCCCCCTCTTGGCTGAGAGCTGGGTGTTATGCTCCCTCAGCTAGGTAACTTACTGCTAGTCAGACCAGCATTATGACCATGATGATGAGTTGGTGACTTCTCAGACGTATTGTTCTATGGGATGCGCCATTTCCATCTACGTATGCTCTGTGTATGCTATGGACTGCTCCCTCAGAGTGCCACGGTCACATAAGGTCTCTAGGTCTGTCTGGTAAACAGTCTCTAGGGCCCCTTAGCCACGGTATCTTTAAAATCCATGTTATGGTAAGTGTGCAAGCGAAATCTCTGTGCACTTCCTAAAATCCACTCTGTGGTAAGTTCGTACATCAAGCATCAAACTTTCTTTGAGTCGGTTAGGCCACCACCCTACCTATGTATCCTCAGTGATACCTACTTTAACAGGGTGTTGCTACTAGGGGTCTGTCGAGACAGTTCCTTCAGCAAGCTCATGCAGAGCAAGCAGTAGCCCCCTGGGTGATAGGTCAAGACCTAGTTACAATTCTAGGCGCTTGGTCGTATCCCCTTAAAGGAATCTCTTCCTGATTCCAAGCCTTTGAGCTCTACCCTGGGCCCAGGAGTCCTGGCCCTAACAGGTAAGTTTTTTAAGATATATGCTTCAGACACTGGTCACGCTCAAGGCGTTCCACATAGCGACCTCTAGAGGACGCAGTGTCTCGTTCCCTTCTCAGGGAACCATGGTTACATACGTAACCTGAGACGTTTTATCTGACCAAATGTTGTGAATCAGTGCATGATTCAGTGAATCATTTGGGTCTGTTCTGGACTGAAAGCTATCATATGACATGAGTCAAATGGACTACTTTTAGGATGCTTTTTTGTAAGAAAAGAACAGCGGATTCTCTTCCACAGAAGAAATGAGTCAAACAGGTTTGGATCGACAGGACGGTGAGTAATAAACACAATTGAAATGTTTGGGCTTTCATTGACCTGGCTCTTTCTGTCCTGCCGGTGTGAGTTGTGAACACAGTGTGCTGTAGGTCAGGAAGTAGGTGGCGAATGACGGCCCATCCCTGAAGGCCAGAGGAAGAGCTCCTCTGTAAAGGCCTGAAGCTCCCTCGTCTCTGGCGATGCTCAACAGGCAGTGGATCGGCCCACTGTATTTGGGTTTGAGTCCACTCCTCTCGCTCTCGGTCTGACACTGAAGACGAACCTTCACAATGTCGCCAGGTGACATTACAGAGATCTAGAGAACAGAGAATATATGACACAATGTTTTGATCACTTTATGTGTATGTTTTATTAACAATCACACTTGTGTTTCTTGGTTTTGATATATATTTATCATATACAGTACTTGTCAAACGTTTGGAAACATTATGATTTTGTAATGTTTTTGAAAAAGTCTCTTATGCTCACCAAGGCTGCATTTACTTGATCAGAAATACATAAAACAATTATGAAAAATAATATCTCACATCTTCTGAAGAGCGTTTGTCTGTTCATCTCTCAATCATCATTGCATTGGATCATTTCAATCTCATCTTATTAAGATATATCAAAACCAAGAAACACAAGTGTGATTATTAATAAAACATACACGTAAAGTGATGAAATTGTTTTTATTACAATTGAAAATATGTGAATATTTAGTAAAATGTAATTGATTCCTGTGATCAAAGCTGAATTTTCAGCATCATTACTCCAGTCTTCAGTGTCACATGATCCTTCAGAAATCATTCTAATATTAAAGTTTAATAATCAATTAATTAATCAAATTTATTTAATAATCAAGACTCAGAAATTGGGTTGCATATAAATATTGAAATTGCATATAAGGTATTTTAATGTAATTGCTTCTGCACACTTTGTTGTTGAAATATAAATAATTAAACAGTGGTGGCAATAATAAAAACTCATTTTCATGACGGATTTATTCAAACATACATTAAATAATGAATAATTATTAAAAAAAAAAAATATATATATATATATATATATATATATAAAAAAAACAACTTGGCTAAAAAA